TAAAACATCCTAAATTCCCTACATTTCATACACCAAAAACACCTTCAATCAATTTCCTACATTCCATCAAAAAAAGCATATTAAAAATACCCTTATATAAAATAACATAACATTTTTAATAGCCTCGTTTTAAGTAATGTTATTTTTAGTAGAAGGGAGATAACTCTTTTTTGGATAAAAAAAAAAACAGGCCATAATTTTCTACTCAATTTTCAAACCTTAAAAATGGCAAATAAAATACTAGATCCAATCTTTAGATTATACGATCCAATTCGTTATTCATTTAACAAGAAAAAAGAGGATTATATTATCATCTCACCCACTATTGGTTCTAAATCCCAAATTGAATGATGGTGGTAGAATTACCTTCGAAATAAATTCATTATCGAATTGGTTGCTTCTTTCCGATGCTTATTTCAGATGCGATTTCAAAATTAAAGACGCCACTCAGAATCAAGTTCCACAAACTAATACAACGTTAAAAAACAATTTCTTTCCATCTTTATTTTGCGAGATAGTTTTGGAAGCTGGTTCAAATCCGATAGAAACAATCAAACATCCTGGGGAATTCGACACAATGTTGAAAACAGTTTTATATCCTAAAGATTTCGATTCAGTCTCAGGTTGGATACCCGATGTTGGTGATGGAAGTGTTTTAAAAGAACCGGTAAGATATCTTGCAAATGATGCCGATTTAGCTAGAGTGAGAGTTGTTGCTCGAAACACGATAGAAAGAGTAGCACGAGCAGCTAAACATGGATTTGAAAAACGAGTACTTCAGTACAATAATATTGTTGAGAATAATAGGTGGGGTAATTACGTAAATTGGAAATTATATCCTTTATTCTTTCTGTTGGAACACAGAAAGGTTTCCATAGGCTTACCATAAAAAATTCATCTACAAAGAGAAATCAACGACGATACGATATTCTTTGGAGAGAATGGTTCAGATGCAAAATTAGAAATAACGAATCTCCAACTTTTCATACCCGTAATAACACCATCAATTGAAGTAGACACGAAAATATTCAACTCATTAACTAAAGATATTGAAATAGCTTTTCTTCATCGTAACACTGTAGGTAGCATGACTTTAGCTGGAGAATCCACCACATGGCCAATCACTAACAGCAATTAAATAGTTGGTTTCAAGAACTTACCAGATTCTCAAACGAATAACAATAATGTCTTTACAGTGGCAATGAACCAAACTCAAGATCCTTTAATCCATAAAGTTCAAGTAAGATTAAACGACGATAATTATCCTAACCAACCTTTAACAATTAATCCAACCACAAAGGATTAAGCAAGACAGTAACCATAGTGGTAATCATGACAGTAAGCAAGGTAATAACCATAGTGGTAATCATGACAGTAAGCAAGACAGTAACCATAGTGGTTATCATAACAGTAAGCAAGACAGTAACCATAGTGGTTATCATGACAGTAAGCAAGACAGTAACCATAGTGGTTATCATGACAGTAAGCAAGACAGTAACCATAGTGGTTATCATGACAGTAAGCAAGACAATAACCATAGTGGTAATCATGACAGTAAGCAAGACAGTAACCATAGTGGTTATCATGACAGTAAGCAAGACAGTAACCATAGTGTTTATCATGACAGTAAGCAAGACAGTAACCATAGTGGTTATCATGACAGTAAGCAAGACAGTAACCATAGTGGTTATCATGACAGTAAGCAAGACAGTAACCATAGTGGTTATCATGACAGTAAGCAAGACAGTAACCATAGTGGTAATCATGACAGTAAGCACGGGCTATAAAAGAATCAGATGTTTCGGACCAATTACTTACCATGGCATAAATAATGATGGTAATTTTCCTGTAATTTCATTCATTGCAGTCTGTGCTACTCAACTTAATAGCGTATTCGGAAGGTAAATTCATTTTAGGGATTATAACACCTACTGTTTAGTTGACACATACCATACATTCTTTTACATTACTCGACCTATATTATTTTTGTAGTATATTGTCAAAAATGATTTTCTATGAAAGGACACCTTTAATATCCCGTGTCAACGAAAATTCCCATTTGGAACAGCAACACCACTCTCTTATTATGATGATAAATGAGATAAGTTGTTACGAGTTCTTTTCATTCATTTCTGTACTTTCGGCAATTTCCGTAAATCTGAATTTTGATATAATATTTTCTACTTCGCGTATTTTTGGATGGAAGTTTAAGTTACATGATATTGAATCATTTAGGGAAAAATGAATGCCTAAGATTTTGATAGAGGATGTGCACAAGCGAATGTTATTTTCAGAGAGCAGTTTTGTCAAGTTTTTTATTTTACTGTTCAAATCTAATGTCTCCGTTTTTTGAAAAGTTTACTGAAAGGCCAGATACAAGACTGAATTGTTTAAGAACCTCAATCAGGTGTCTTACAGATTTGTAATCTGTGAAAAAGCACGTTAAGTCGTCTCCAAATCCAATTATTTTTAATTCTGTTCTTCCAAAGTAGAGACCGTGGATGTTACTGTCATGTCGTATATATATACAAAGAATTTCTATTATGAGATTAAATAGGTTAGGCGCACACCCTTTTCTATTGGGAAGTAATGGGTAGTATAACCATTGTTTCTGATAGCACATTCAATATTGTAATATAAAGTTAGTATCCAACGAATGAATATTTTACCAAAACTAAAATGTCGGAGGACTTTAACCGTAAATTTATGACGATTGAATAAAAAAGCCTTAGAAAAATCGATTGCCATAAGGAGTCCAGATATGCGCTTTTGTCGAGCTAAATTAATACAATCATCTATGATTCTGGTATTTTCTATCATATGTCTACCGTTTGATTTTAATGTCATGCTCTGTTTATATTCATCGTTTATTTGTATTACATTGATGCCTTTGAACGAATTTTACTGAACATGAATTACAGAACAATTCTGTCAGATCAAAATTGACGAGTATAGTTACATGCAGCTAAAACTTGATCGCCTTCCTACGTCTCGGGGTTTCAATGCCGGCATACATTGAGGGAATACTGTCGTGATTCACAGTGTCAGTGTTTCAGGTCAGATGGGTAGATACTCTGATAGTATCAGATAATAATAGTCGAATCTATGGAAGCCGGCTGCGCCCACGAGAAAGCGAGAAAACTCGACTGTTCGCCCACGAGAAAGCGAGGAAAAATTTGAGGAAAAAGGCGAGAAAGTGAGGGTTAAAAAAAGACGAGGAAAAAGACGAGGAAAAAGGCTGGAAAGCGAGGAAAATTCTCACCTTTTTTCCTCGTATTCTGGCCTTTTTCTCGCCTTTTTCCTCGCTTTCTCGCCTTGTTCCTCTCTTTCTCGCCTTTTTCCTCGCCCTTTTCCTCGCCTTTTTCCTCGCTTTCTCGCCTTCTTTCTCGCTTTCTCGCCTTCTCGCCTTTTCCTCGCTTTCTCGCTTTCTCACCTTCTCGCCTTTTCCTCGACTTTTTCCTCGCTTTCTCGCCTTTTTCCTCGCCTTTTTCCTCTCTTTCTGGCCTTTTTCCTCGCTATTAATATCTATGTATCTACTGGTCAAACTGAATTTGATTTCAATCCGTTAATTAACAAATGGATCGTTAATTACTAATTAGTTTCACCTAGTTTTGATGTTTGTCTTTTTAATGGCTCGATAATTTTAGTTGGAACCTTCAGAAAAATTAGGCGACATATATTTCTATAAAATAAAGCGTTTAATTTGCTTAAATCCGTACAGTAGTTTTCTTGCAATGAACAAAAACAATATTAACTTACAAAGTTTATGTAATGTGTAGCCTAGGCCTACTTCATAAGCTTATAGAATAGTTTTGGCGTTTATTGGCTTGATTTTTTAAGTTAAAACTTTCATATATCATTATTCAAGGACACTTTTTTCTAGATTTTGGTATATCTTTTTGTCAAAAATTTCAGCTAAAAAAAAAATTTCTTTACCTACAAAAAGAGGAATGCCACCGTTGAGTGAATTTCATATCAATCTGAAACCTAAAAATTGAATTTTTGTAAAAATATTTGTACACATATATCTTGTTACATATAAAAGAAAACCGAGTTTAATTGGTCTATATATAAGCCCTACAGACTCACAAAAACAGGTTTTTTTAACAGTGTGCCCCGGTCCGGTTTTTCAAAAGTTTTTATGTTTGATAGTCTATTTTTAATAGAAGAATAGTGAAGATATTCGATAACACTATATATACTCTTTCCTTTCAAATTACACACTAAGATATAAGTCCTGTGCCTGTGCTTTCGTAACTATGTCATTAGTACCAAATTACACCCGACATGGGTACCGATTTTAAATACGGAATGCAAAATACCGTATGCATGGAACAACAGCAAAACTATTTTGAAGGAATATCTGTTACTTCTGATTAACATTCTTTCAAAATGAATTTCGTTTTTTTTTTTTATTTTTCATTAATTCAATTAAATTAACAATATGAAAAAAATGTGCACTGAATGAAGAAAGGCGGGGAAAAAGGCGAGGAAAAGGCAAGGAAAAAGGCGAGAAAGTGAGAAAGCGAGGGAAAAGGCGAGCAAGCGAGAAAGCGAGGAAAAAGGCGAGGAAAAGGGCGAGGAAAAAGGCGGAAAAAGCGAGGAAAAAGGCGAGAAAGCGAGGAAAAGGGCGAGAAAGCAAGGAAAAAGGCGAGGGTAAAAAAAGGCGAGGAAAAGGCGAGAAAGCGAGAAAGCGAGAGAAAGCGATAAAGAAGGCGAGAAGTCGAGAAAGCGAGGAAAAAGGCGAGAAAGCGTAATTATGATAGTAACTATGACAGTAATCATGATAGTAATTATAACAGTAATCATGACAGTAATATTGATAGTAATTATGGCACTAATCATGGCAGAAATCATGGTGGGGAACCATGACAGTAACTATAATGAAGTAATCATTTCTCTACAATGTGGCAATTATTGTTTCCTAAAATTCGTACATTTCTAACACCAGTCAAAAACGTAGCGATGTTTGAATTTAAAGGGATTGCAAAGAGGTATTCTAGCCTTTTTATATGTACCAGTGACCGGTTTCTAATACAGTGAGGCGATCATTTGGTCCAGTAGTAGTTGTATCACTGGAAAACATTATTTACCAAATCGCATCCTTTAAATGTTTATATTTTCAACAACTATTCAATTTATCGCTCGGCGCAATATTGCCCTTAAACCATTCAAAATAATTTGTTTTGTACAAAATTATTTTCCACAGCAGTTTCTTTTTCACATGAGATAACACTGCGGAACGTTACGTTCTTTCTACTGTGTAAATACAGCTCACCCAGTCCTAGACTGAATAGGAAAGAATTTCTTAAAGATGGGTTTCCTTATTTTTATTAAATTCAGCAAACTATTTGATTAGTTGGTGTTTCTATTGAATTATCATGTATTCTTAATCATATATCATTATGTCCTTATTGCATATAATTAGAAATTTTAACCAGTCATAAATCCATGTATGTATAGTCTGGATAAACAAAAAAAAAACCTTTCTTGATCGGTCACTCATTGAAATTCTGCTGGTAATTCTCTTCTCATTTAGCTGAATATGAATTAATTATGGACATGTGACACAAACTGGTATTTTTCCAACTCATTAGATCACCTCTACTTTCTATTCATATAAGTATTAGCATTACATTTTCATAAATAAAAATAAGGGAACCCATCTTTAAAACCATTCAAAATAAATTATTTTGTATGAAAAAAATTTTCCACTACAGTATCTTTTTCACATATATAGGTATATCACGACTTATAACTAAATAATTTTTTCTACATTCGTGACGCTACACTGGCTCTTTTTAAACTCTTTTCTTGTTTTGTTCTCTTTTAACCTGACCCTAACAGTTAACTGTAAAAACTTTGGTAGAGTCGGATCGAACATTTGACGGAAACGGATCCAAATTTTGGCAAATGGGTACGGACCCTATCTTTGACGAATAATATCATTTTTAATTCATTGACGGTGGCGGATATAGGTAGCCATGAGAATTCAAGTTTCAGCCATTTTGTTATTAGGTGTTATTGTAGCCTCGGGGGCAGAGCCAAATGAACTGGTTTCCTTTGCGTGTCTGTTCTTTAAGGACATGTTTCAAGATTGTCTGAAAGGTAAGGTTTGCTTTTTTAAAACGTTCGATATCTTGAAGTTGAAGGATTTTCAAAGAGGTTTTCTAAATTTTTTATGTGTATCGGGGACACTGATAGTACCCATTTGCACCATTCCCATTTTCGTTCATACGTCTATGGTTCTCGAATTTTCACCAAAACTAAGTGTTTGATGACGTCACTAATCGCAAACTATGTTTTATCGCAGTAAGTTAAGTCGTAAAACACGTAGTTTAGTTAAATTACAGGATCCAGATACATCTGAACGAAAATTGGAATGGGGCAAATTAATGCTATCAGTGTCGCCAATACACATACAGTTTTTAGAAAACTTCTTTACAATCTCTTTAAAAGGCACAGATCACAGTAATAATCATAATTATGACATGAAAAAGTCATGTAACTTCTAACCTATATATAGAAAAACAAGATATTGTACAAATTTGTATCAAAACGATGTAAAACCGGTGTTTTAATTTATCTTTAATATTAAAATGTAGAATTATGCTTATACAAATTTCACTCATTTGTTCAGAAGCCTTCGATTCATACGCCTTTGATATTACTGGATAAATCATTGATACAGAGAATGGATGTAAATCTTGTTAAACAAATTTAAAATAATCCCAGAAATGGAAAAGTGAAAATATCAGAAGTAAAGAAAAGAAACAATCTAAATTAATAGAATTGATGGTTATAGGGCTTGATGATAAGTGATTCAGCATTTTTAGGTCCCAGCACAGCTTGCTATTGATTTGGACAAATTGATGTTTCAGTGGACGGAGTGTGGGGAACATGGGGACCTTATTCACCATGTTCATCAAATTGTATCGGAGGAACTCGTACACGAACCAGAAACTGTGACAATCCTTCCGCATCAAATGGTGGATCCAAATGTCCTAACAGTATCACAGGCGCTACACAGACAGAGGACTGCAACACAGAAATTCCATGTCCTGGTACGTAAAATATATATCACTTCCTCGTACTGGTACGTATAATATACCTGGTACGCATAATATATACCAATTCCACGTTCTGGTACGTATAACATACACCAATTCCTTGTCCTGGTATGTATGATAAACATCACTTTCAAGTATTAGTATGTATAATACCCGTTCTGGTAAGTATTATACACGTCAATTCCACATCCTAGTACGTATGATAAACATCACTTTCATATTTTGGTATATATGATAAACATCAATTCCTCGTCTTTTGGTTTTAGTTTTAGTTTATCATAGGTTCAACAGGAAATAACATTAATAAGACAGAACGCATTGATATTTTCGTACTACTTATTTCTGAAGTAGGCAATCAATCCTATATTCTTTTACATAATTCATGATTTAAATTGTACAAAACCCTGTGGTAATGGCACGTGAACTCGACAACCCCTTTGTGATAATCCAAGTCCTGCACATGGTGGTGAAACTTGTTTCGTAAATCAAACTGAAACTGTGGCATGCGCAGAATTTCTCTGGCAGGTAAGAATTATTGTTTGTTTGTTTGTTTGTTTGTTTGTTGTAAATGTTATATTTATGTTTGTTTGTTGGTTTATGTTTTAGATGATATATTGATCTATTTACAGTGGATGGAAACTGGGGAGAATGGTCGGATTTTAGCGACTGTTCTACAACATGTGATGGAGGAACACAAAACAGAACAAGACTATGTGATAATCCAGAACCGAGTAATGATGGTGCTACCTGTTCTCCTCCTGGTAGCGAAACTCGATCATGTAATACCACTTCATGTATAGGTAATACCTACTTATTTATTTTCAAATGACTTCTGATTTGATTGTCACATACATCAGCTAAGGTCTTTCAAAATACAGACCTGGATGTTTCACTTGCGTTGTCACTACACTTGTACTTGATATCAATGGCAAATGTCAACCACAGAAAAACTAGAATTGAGCTCACTGACACTGTGAAACACGACAGTATTCCCTCGTTGTATGCCAGTATTGAAACCTCGAGCCGTAGGAAGGCGAACAAGTTTTAGCTGTGTATAACTATACTCGTCAAGTTTCATCTGATAGAATATTTCTGTAAATCATGTTCAGCAAAATTCTTCCAAAGGCATCAATGTAGTACAAATAAACGATGAATATGAATAGAACATGCGGTAGATATATTGATCAGAACATCCTATCGATATATTAGTATATATTGTATGACCTAGAACACGAGATGTATAAAACTTTCGTCAGATCATGGATGTGAAATTTGAATTATCTAGCTCAATAGCTCGGTTTCCTGTCAAAACTGTTCTTATAATCAAATCTATATGCCATCAATTAAACTGTTTCAGAAGAAGTTTGTGCAGAGAAGCAATATGTTTATGATAAAAAAACCAACATTTGCATCAAGCTATATACACAACTGAACGACTTCGACAATGCCAATGCTCAATGTAGCGTATATGACGCTTTTCTTTTCATAATGGATACAACTGACAAATTAGAAGTTGCCAAAGCGATCAGTGAAAATACAGGTAATATCATTTGTTGAAACTTTTATCCAATATGTTGATTGTATGCACGTAGATCTTTTCTTCTACGATCAATGAAAAGCTACAACCCTCTATCAATCTTCACAATGAAAAGCTACAACCCTCTATCAATCTTTACAATGTCAAGCTACAACCCTCTATCAATCTTTACAATGTCAAGCTACGACCCTTTATCAATCTTCACAATGTCAAGCTACAACCCTCTATCAATATCCACAATGTCAAGCTACAACCCTCTATCAATCTTCACAATGTCAAGCTACGACCCTTTATCAATCTTCACAATGTCAATTACAACCCTCTATCAATCTTTACAATGTCAAGTTACGACCCTCTATCAATCTTCACAATGTCAAGCTACAACCCTCTATCAATCTTCACAATGTCAAGTTACGACCCTCTATCAATCTTCACAATGTCAAGCTACAACCCTCTATCAATCTTCACAATGTCAAGCTACGACCCTCTATTAACCTTCACAATGTCAAGCTAGAACCCTCTATTAATCTTCACAATGAAATAGTACAAATTGATGTGATACACAAAAAAAGTTTCGAAAATCTCTTTACATTCCCTTTATGGATTCCCTTATTTTCATTTATGAAAATGAAAATGCTAATGAATAGAAAATAGAGGTGTTCTAATGATTTGAACAAAATACCAGTTTGTCCATGATTAATTCATAATTAGATAATTTAGAAGAGAATAACCAGCAGAATTCCAGTGAGTGACCAATCAAAATGTCGTGATTTATACCTGAAATTATTTCTAAAGTATGCTGTTTATATCTATGCATCTACTTGATCAAACTGAATTTATTCTAAAGGGTTTAATTAATCAGTTTGACCTCATTTTGGTGTTTGGCTTTATAATGGCCTGTTATATTTAGTTAAAACCTTTACACGAGAAATATATTTATCTACAATTAGGCGTTTATTTGACTAAAAATCCGTACAGTATTTTTCTAACAGCTTGCAGAAAGTATAACGAACTTTAAAACTATGCGTAAGCTAAGGTAAACTTTTCAAATAGTTTCGGTGTTATGAAATTAACGGCTGGATTTTTTTATTTAATACTTTCAGAAAAAAAAAATTCGACTTACAAAAAAAGCGGAATGCCTCTTAAAGCTACGACCTTGTAACATGATATCTTATTTCTTCCAGAATCAGATCAGACTGGCTATTTAATTGGAGCACGAGATGACAATAATGATGGGACATTCAAATGGATTGATGGTTCCGATGTAACGTGGATTGGAAACGCCCCAGATAATCCAGATGAAGATTGTGTAAGACTCAGGAAAGATAATTATCTTATGGATGTAACTTCCTGTCTAGAATCTCAATATTTCTTTTGTCAGATAACTGTACCCACCAGTAGATATCCAATAATATAACCAAAGAGAAGTGTTATTTTATGACAAAAACAAATTTCTCCCCTTTCTACGGTGGTTTGTTTAAGGCATGTTTAACCTTTTTATGATTTGATTCTTCTCATTTTTCTATTTTTGTTTTTTTTTTATATTCAGTAAACAAAAATGAAAAATAAATAGAATTAAATCATAATTAAAAAAAATAAAACCAGCGTTACTTTCCGCTACAAGATTTTATATGAAATGTTTTTATTGATTCATTTTTCATTAGAATAAATTGTATTTCCGAGGGTTTTTTGTATTTTAATTTCTAGACACCAATATCGTTTAGTTTTAAGTTGACAGAGACTAGATACTGTTCATAATTCTATATCAATAGCTAATCTCAAACACCCATCACTTGGCAAGGGCATTTACTGAAAAGGCTTCAGTAAGTATGGATAGACGGACATGGGTGAGGATAGACCGAACTCCATGTAGATGTGTCATGTAGTAATAGTAAAATAGGCCAGAAAGCTTCTATAATAATCTTCAAAGCGCATGTATAGATGTCGGTATCATTCGGTAATCCTCGGCAGTGAATGAATTTTTATGTTGATTAATAGACTTTTTTTTATTAACAAACTGCGATGCAACATATTTTGTGCCAATGTTCCTGCCGGTAACGGAAATTCGGGAACATTCGGTAATCCTCGGCACTTTCCGTATATGCTGTATTGCGCTTGTAGAACTTTCACGGTATTTCCGTCTGAGTTCGGTATGTGTTCCGATATACATTGTAAAGTCTCCCCATCCTATAATACAATAGTCACAAACCTGGTGCTTCTCTCTTTTAAATTTCAATAGAGTTCTTTCTTGATCGAAGTAGTTCACCAGGTTACGTAAGTAGTACGTTAAAAATTGTATCCTCTAGATTGTTTACCTGCTAGAAATAAACGTGTTTCGAAGAACTTGGGTAGTGACTCCAATTAATCTAAATTCATCCTTTGGTGAAATTAAAAAAAAACACCAGAGTTTCCTTCATAGATTTTGTCTTTCAGAATGTAAACGAAAATTATATTTACAAAAATTTCAAGGTGCAAGGGAAATAACTCTTATAATTATTTTTCGAGTTTATCCTTGAGATATATTCCGAATAAATCCTAAATTATGCCTACAGAATGTTAACCATATTAAACTTGGAAAAATTTCGAAGAGGACTCACATCAAATATTTATTTTTACTTCGATATAGTTCATTGTTGTTGATCAGCACTGGGTTTCCTCCAAATCAATCAAGAATTCTGCCTTCTTGAATACAGAATTGTGGAAAGACGGGTGAACACGGGTTACTACAAAATGTGGTCTATATTTCATGTGGGCAAATAATAATGGAAGCGAACTGGGGCTGTGACAGTACTAGTCCGAAACATCTGCCTCTATAACGGCCTCTATAACAACTATATAGACAAATGATCACGTGATTCTGGTAATTTAGATATTAGAGGCTGGCTGATCAGGACTACAAGTGTTTGTAAACAAAAACAATGAAAAACTTCGTGCAATTTGGATCCAAAATGATGATAGAATGTAAACTGATAGTCGCAATAAAATAGTATATCTTAATCTTACGTCAGAATGATGTTCTAAGGTTTTATATTCTGGTCTCAATATTACTATCGCTTGACAAATATTTACTTTTCTACTATCACTCCCTTCAATAAACAAGTTAGCCAAATCGGCGTTTATTTTCCAATAACTGTAGTTTGTCACGTGACAATAAGGCGTATGAATACATCGAAAACGAAAACAAGGATTGACCCAAGTTTTTTTACCTAGAGTCTAATCTAATTTTACAATTTATTGAAATTTACAATTGTTGTTAATATTTCAATGGAATAATAAATATTTGATAATTCTATCATCCAAATAAGACTGTCGATTTATAGAACTATATTGTTAGGGGCGGGTCGGTGCAGATAGGTTTCCCTTTAATATCATCTAGACTCTATGGACCTCCTCTAGGAGCTGTCCGGGTTGGTACAGTTATCTGACAAAAGAAATATCTTGGTTTTGTACAAGAAGTTTCATCCATCTGATAAGTTGACTTCTTGAGTCTTACACAATTTTGATCTGGATTATTTGCGGCCTTTCCAATCAGATCAGTCTGATCTGATTCTGTAAGGGATTGTAGAGAGGTTTATTAAACTATTATATGTATCGGGGACACTGCTAGCATTATTTTGTACCATCCCAATTATAAATCATATGTCTGTGGTTCCTATATTTCCACCAGAACTAAGTGAAGCGGCAAAACGCACTTACTGTTTTACTGGAATTGCAGGAACCAAAGACGTCTGATTGCTAAATTGAAACGGTGCAAATGTGCTATCAGTGTCTACATTACAATTCAACTAATTGTAAAACTTTTTAAGAATCTCTTTTAACATTGTAAAGATGGATGCAGTATCGTAACTGGACATGGTGACAATTGAGTGCAATAGATACCTATCGCGTGTCCCGGAAGTTTGTAATGCAGCTATCTGATTGGAATTTTGGATGATGAAGTCTCTGATTGCCAATATACGCTGGTGAACAGTCCGATCAAATCGCTGCATCGCTGCATCGCTGCATTGCTGAAGAAAACAGGTATCTATTGTAGTCAAGGTATAAGAAGACGAAGATCTTATTAACTTGACATGGAAAGAAGGCCTGCGTACATGCAACATATTGAATAAAAATTTCAGAAAATGATAATACTTCTATCTTCACTGATCGCTTTGGCAACTTCTAATTTGTCAGTTGTATCCATTATGAAAAGAAAAGCGTCATCCGCTGTACATGCAGCACTGGTGAATGGGTCAAATCAACTGTTTTATTATCAACCCTGTCTTTAACATCTACCTGGCAATCAAATCAGTCCTTTCAATTAAATGTTATATTTATGTTTGTTTGTTGGTTTATGTTTTAGATGATATATTTATGTTTGTTTGTTTGTTTGTTTAAGATGTTATATTTTTGTTTGTTTGTTGATTTATGTTTTAGATGATATATTGATCTATTTACAGTGGATGGAAACTGGGGAGAATGGTCGGATTTTAGCAACTGTTCTACAACATGTGATGGAGGAACACAAAACAGAACAAGACTATGTGATAATCCAGAACCGAGTAATGATGGTGCTACCTGTTCTCCTCCTGGTAGCGAAACTCGGTCTGAGTTCAATCAGTTTGTACCGCTAACCCCGTTTTTTAATCCTGCAAATATATATTCAATATAAAAAAAATTTACAATATAAAAATGCTCATATATCACACTGAGCCCAGTACACATTTTCCTCAAGAGGATCCCACTTGGCATAACCCACTGAATTACAATGTAGAGATCGCGTTGTATAGTCATTCCTGTGAGTAAAGTCTCTTCCAGATATGCTTGGAATACCCTGCTTGTATGAGATGGCATCTCGGGATGGAAAAAACGGTTGCGATTGGTGGTCGAAGATGATGGAGGGTAACTTGAATAAAGGTTGAAATAGGTAAGTTGCCTTGAAATTGTATTTTTTGGCATGTTATTTTGTTAGACAACAACAACTTCTGGGTTTTGGAAGAGATGAGACAGCTGAGATACTGATACTACCCGTCGAACTTTTGGGTGTTTGTTTTGGAGCACCCGCTTTATATGTACATAAGTAACCACAGTAGTCATCATTGCTCGATAAAATGAAACATTTTTAATCTATTTTCAACAGAACATATTGTTATTTAATCCATATTCAATTCATATATACATAATATCTTAACATACTTTCAGATTAATAGCTTATTCAGAGATAACATCAAGCATAACAAATAATGAATATCGAATTTGAAATATTAAAAAAAGAACAAGATTAAAATGAGTATTAAAAGAGCCAGTGTAGCGTCACGAATGTTTATGTAATTCAAAAGGAGGGGTGGGGTTTCGTAGCTATCAAGTGCAAGGCATTACTACATGCCCCAAAATTAGTTAAGTTCAATTTTTTCGAACAAAATACATAATAAATATAATTGGCTTATATCTTTGAGATGAAATCTGTCATTAGGTGAAAACCAAATACATAATTAATTATCATTGAAATGATATAAGTATGTGGTGATATCAAATAAATTTGTGAAAAGGTGAAAACACGAACAACGGAAATGTTTCGAGCGATCGACACGATTCCGGGGCGCAAGTATGCGAAAGTACGCTGAAGTACCTGGAGGTACTCGCTTCCGATGTCTCCGTTCTTCCACCGTTCTCCTGATATTGGTTAAATGCGCTGAATGCAGGAAGCCTTTGTATTACCCTCATTTCATTAAGGATTAAAACAATCTCAACCAGATTGTCTCCCTCCGATGATTTATTTTTTTCTGATTCGTATAAATCATCGGCTCACAAGATTGAAATCAATTTAGTTAGAATAAAATAAAAGCGCGCCAAGCATTATTTCAAATATGCCGAATACATTTACAAATCAAATAGACATTGTTTACTAAACTAGTTTGGAGTTGTCAATTAAATTGCGTTTATTTTTGTTTATATTTCCTTGTGTCGGCACTATTCGCCGCGTAATTGCGCTTATTTTCGACATGTTTAATAAAAACAGATCAAGCTTCGGCGATTTGTTCTGGAACGCACTACGAGCGCTCTGGGATCGAGAAGATCGTCAGCCAAGCGTTGTAACATCACCATGAGTGGTATAAAGCGTCGTACACGCCTGGCAAAGACGTTGCAAAAACGTTAGAACGCAATATGGTCACATAATTCGAGTGTTTCTAAGTTTGTAATTTTAAAGGATTTATTCTCAGCTTTTCCACTTTTGACCGCGACTTTGTACATTCCCAGTCACTGTAAGATCGCAAACGATCACAGTCTGGTGTGACAGGGCTATAAACAATTAGACTAAGGTACCCCTTAAAGCGACTCAGATTGTATTTTAATTTTTAATTTTAATTTTTTCTACCGTTTTCAGCTTGGCCTTGACATGAGAAAATCAAATTGTGTAACGTTAGATTCTTTCGCTATGATTAGGGATTACATAGGCTCACCCAGTCATTAACTGAATATGAAGAATTTCTTAAAGATGGATTTCCTTATTTTTTAGTGTCAAATTAAGCAAACTATTTGATTAAATGATGTTTCTAATGAATTATCATTTATTCTTAATCAAATCATTATGTTCTTATTGCATATAATTAAAAAAAGAAAATAAATGTCCATTTATGTACAGTCTGAATAAACAAAAAAAGACTTTTTGACCTTGATCACTCATTGGAATTCTGCATTGTCTCAACTGGAGGGCTAATATTGTCCTGTCACCTCCAAATTTAAGATACTCGTGAAGAAAACTTCAAATCAAGCCAAGGTTATAGTTCTTCCGAAACTACGTATGAATCTTTACAGGTTATTTAGTTATCAGTCTCCAAGCGATAAATTAAATAGTTATTGAAAATATATACAAAACGATGCGATTTGTTAAATCAAGTTTGTCCAGTAATACTACCACTACTAGACTAACATTTAATTGAAAGGACTGATTTGATTGTAAAAATGGTCTGAATCAGGGAGACGTTCTGCCCCCTATACTTTTCTCAGTTTATGTTAATGATTTTGAGTCTCACTTACGTGATGACAAATGTCCATTCATTAAATTACAGAAGTTAAGTTTATTTTTGTTCGACTCACTGTATTACTGGACTAACATGATTTACCTAACTGTATTCCCCGAAACACATACAAGGCTAAATGAAATGAATGGAGTTTTACATCCTACTTTCCTGCACCACGTTTGCTAATGAAGACAGGCAATGCCATGCAGGGTGCAATGAGGGAAATTTCGGAGGATTAGCCATTGTGTCCAAACCACACCTCCATTCGTCATACTTCCATGGGGGCCGTGGTAACACAAGTGAGAAAAATTACGTATTCATAGCTAAATATTGTCCAATTAAACTTGGCCCTACTGTATTGGTAGCAAATTTCAGCCAATCAAAACAAATCACTTGTTATGACGCTTTATATGTTGATGAATATGTAGGCCTATGGTACAGAATTGAGTAAGATTTTCGTTAAAGAACTGAAGCCGATAGAAAACCAAACCTTACTTTGAAATATTTATTTGGAAAGAATGTGTTCTTATCACTTCAAACGGCGGCAAAGCGATGTTGTGTAGTGGGCTTAGTTTTAAACGGGTTAATAAGACCATGTCAAAACCCGTATTCGTGAAACGATGTAGTATTAGCCTGCTCTTTTTCGATGATCAATCGTCGAAGGTCTTTAACAATCTGAAGCACCCGGGGACTCGATGTATTGTGCCATCCTAACGACTAGACGCTTGAAAACCTATTCAAAATCCCTTTAAAATCAAAATGAAATGAATTGAGTTTTACGTCTTACTTTTCTGCACCATGTGGGCCGAGACGGGCAACGCCATGCAGAGTGCAATGAGGGAAATTTTGCCAGGACAGCGGGATTAGCCTGCTCTTTTTCGATTTCCAAAAGGGATCTTCAACGTGCACAGCCTTTAGCACACGGGGATTCGGTTTATTGTCCCATCCGAACAACTAGACGCTTTTTCCATGTCAGCCCCTCTAACCTACATCACTGTCAGGGGTATAAGCGGGTTAAAAAATCCGAAAGTATTATCTCGACCTATGCCGTGATTGAACCCTGGACCTTCAGGTTAGCGAGCAAGAGTCTAACTCAATGAGCCACCGCGGCTCCCCCTTTAAAATCAAAGGATGACAGAACAGAAATTTCAATACGCAAAAAAAATATTTCAAATAAAATCTTGTTGAAAAATTGTGAGAAATTTGCTTCTGTCATAAAAAAGATACATTTTTTCTAACATATTTTTATATGATATCCGAATTTAATCTTAAAATAATAATAGTCCAATTAACACCAAATTTTAAAAATGATACCAATTCTAGTTATCTAATCGAACGATTAGCTAATTATCTTTGGTCATATTACTTTTAATCATAGTGACAAGAAAGACAGACGTGCTCTATGTGTGTTTCTTGATTTATTACATAAAGTTTCCTTTAAAACTCATCTCCACATAACTGAGGTTTGTTTAGGTTTGTGATGATACTGATTTCGATATTGTTACTTACTTACTACTAAGGCATATTTATCAATGGTTCAGGGATTTGGGGCTTTCACAATGGTATTGACATTGAAAAACTACACTTACACTTCTGAAAGATAATTTTATCACTGGATTTGTATGGTTTATTTCGAGCTTGGTCAATTCACAGAAATATACATATCTTTAAATTGTAGGAAAAATTTACTGTGAATTAAATGGACAAGAACGCCAAACTTTTTCTATGTGTGTTTCTTGATTGATTGCAGATAGTTTTCCTTTTAATATCATCTAGACTCTATGGACCTCCTCCAGGAGCTGTCCAGGTTGGTACAGTTATCTGACAAAAGAAATATCTTTTTCTTCCACAAACAGCTTCATCCATATGATAATCTGCCTTCCTAAGTCTTACACAATTTTCATTTGGATTATTTGGAGCGTTTCCAATCCACGTTACTCTGGAACCATCCAACCATCTGAAAGTAGCATCCGCATTATCATTACGAGCTCCAATTAAATAGCCACCCTGGTCTGATTCTGAAAGAAATAAGATATCATTTGTTAAAGGGATTGTAACATGTTTAAAAAGCTTTTGTGTGTATCGGGGACACAGATAGCATTAATTTGTACCATTCCAACTTTAAAACATACATTATTGTCCTTACAATAACACCAGAACTAGTTTGATGGCGTCACTTATCATCAAATCGCAACCAGTTCTAGTGGAATTACAGGAACCACAGATGTCTCATTGAAAAAATGACAGTCTAGGTATAAGATGACATATTGGATAAATATTTCAGAAAATAATACTACTTCTATCCACAATAATCTCTTTGGCAACTTCTAATTTGTCAGTTGTATCCATTTTAAAAAGAAAAGCACCATCTGCTGTACATGCAGTATTGGCGTCGTCGAAGTTTTTCTTATCTGTATATAGCTGGATACAAATACCGATACTGGCATTGTAAACATATTGCTTCTCCTCACAAACTGCCTCTGAAAAAAGTTTGATTTATGGCATAAATTTATGATTATATGATCAAAGAATATGAATTGGAAACCGAGCTTAATGAATTAGTAATTGCAAATTTCTGACTCAAGTGAAACATCTATGTTTGTATTTTGAAAATAAAATAAGAAGGTCCTACCTAGACATGAAATGGGATTACAGGACCTAGTTTCGCTACCAGGAGGAGAACAGGTAGCACCGTCATTACTCGGTTCTGGATCATCACATAGTCTTGTTCTGTTTTGTGTTCCTCCATCACATGTTGTAGAACAGTCGCTAAAATCCGACCATTCTCCCCAGTTTCCATCCACTGTAAATAGATCAATATATCATCTAAAACATAAACCAACAAACAAACATAAATATAACATTTTAAACAAACAAACAAACAAACAAACAAACAAACAATAATTCTTACCTGGGCAGGGAATTTCTGCGCATGCCTCAGTTTCAGTTTGATTTCCGATACAAGTTTCACCACCATGTGCAGGACTTGGATTATCACAAAGTCGTTGTCGAGTCCACGTACCATTACCACAGGTTTTTGTACAATTGGAAAAGTCTCCCCAGTTTCCCCAATCGCCATCAACTGTAAAGTAAATCATGAATTATTTAAAAGAATATAGGATTGTTTACCTACTTCTGAAATAAGATGTCACGTACGTGCGTTCTTCCTTACAAAAATTTTATTTCCCGACGAATCTATGATTAACTGCAAATACAGAAGGACTATATTATAGGTTCTAGGAGTTAAAATTGGTGTATATTATACGTACCAAGATGGGGAATTGATGTATATTATACTTACCAAGACGAGGAATTGATGTATATTATACTTACCAGAACGTGGAATTGTTGTATATTATACGTACCAAGACGAGGAATTGATGTATATTATACGTACCAGGGCGTGGAATTGATGTATATTATACATACCAGGACGAAGAATTGATGTATATTATATTTACCAGAACGTGGAATTGATGTATATTATACTACCAAGACGAGGAATTGATGTATACTATACTACCAAGACGAGGAATTGATGTATATTATACTTACCAAGACGAGGAATTGATGTATATTATACTTACCAGAACGTGGAATTGATGTATATTATACTACCAAGACGAGGAATTACTGTATATTGTACGTACCAGGACAAGGAATTGGTGTATATTATACGTACCAGAACGACGAATTGATGTATATTATACTTACCAGAACGTGGAATTGATGTATATTATACATACCAAGACGAGGAATTGGTGTATATTATACGCACCAAGATGAGGAATTGATGTATATTATATGTGCCAAGACAAGGAATTGTTGTATATTATACATACCAGAACGTGGAATTATTGTATATTATACGTACCAGGACGGTGAATTGATGTATATTATACATACCAAGACGAGGAATTGGTGTATATTATACGCACCAAGACGAGGAATTGATGTATATTATATGTGCCAAGACGAGGAATTGTTGTATATTATACATACCAGAACGTGGAATTATTGTATATTATACGTACCAGGACGGTGAATTGTTGTATATTATACATACCAGAACGTGGAATTATTGTATATTATACGTACCAGGACGAGGAATTGTTGTATATTATACGTACCAGGATGAGGAAGTGATGTATATTATATGTACCAGGACGTGGGAGTGATTTATATTATACGTACCAGGATGTGGGAGTGATTTATATTATACGTACCAGGATGTGGAACTGATTTATATTATACGTACCAGGATGTGGAATTGGTGTGTATATTATACGTACCAGGAAGTGGAATTGATGTATATTATACGTACCGGGATGTGGAATTGGTGTGTATATTATACGTACCAGGATGAGGAAGTGATGTATATTATACGTACCAGGATGAGGAATTGATGTATGTTATACGTACCAGGACGAGGAATTGGTGTATATTATACGTACCAGGACGAGGAATTGGTGTATATTATACGTACCAGGAAGTGGAATTGATGTATATTATACGTACCAGGACGGTGAATTGATGTATATTATACGTACAAGGATGAGGAAGTGATGTATGTTATATGTACCAGGACGTGGGAGTGATTTATATTATACGTACCAGGATGTGTAAGTGATTAATATTATAAGTACCAGGATTTGCAAGTGATGTATTCATTATACGTACCAGGACATGGAATTTCTGTGTTGCAGTCCTCTGTCTCTGTAGCGCCTGTGATAATGTTAGGACACTGGGATCCACCATTTGATGCTGAAGGATTGTCACAGCTTCTAGTTCGTGTACGAGTTCCTCCGGTAAAATTTGATGAACATGATGAATAAGGTCCCCATGTTCCCCATACTCCGTCCACTGAAACATCAATATGTCCAAATCCAAATCACAATTATTGACGGATTTGGATAAAACTTAGTGTATTTGTTATTTAAAACGCGTTCAATTTATTTATTTCTTAACACTCTAGATGCCACAATTTTTGAGACGGTTGTTTAGATGAAATTTGATTTAAGTTTTATAATCACCCAAGAAAGAGCTCTATCGAAAATCAGAAAAAGTTTTAGGTCTTAAACACTGTAGAAGGCACAATTCGTGATGAAATTGGTCATTCAGTACAAATACCTCATGCTTATACTCTGAGAACAATTCGTGAATGTTAAAAGTGTCTTTACAATTTTTTTTATTTCAAATCGTACAACATCTTGTAGAATATATATGACTTTTTCTTGCTATAATCAGTACTATGATACGTACCTTTTCAGGGGATTGTAAAAAAAATATGTGTATTTGAGACACACACAATTCCATGTGTTTGATGACGTCACTTATCCCGCAGGTCCTTATATGAGAAAGCATAGTTTGCGATTAGTGAAGTGATCAAACACTTATTTTTAATGAAATTGCAGGAATCACAGACGTCTGTAAAAAACTATCAGTGTCTTCGATACACATATAAAATTTAGAAAATTTCTCTACAAACGCTTTAAAGATGCTTTCCTTATTTTTTAGTGTCAAATTAAGCAAACTATTTCATTTATTGGTGTTTCTAATGAATATCACGTATTCTTAATCAAATCATTGTGTTCTTATTGCATATAGTTAAAAGAGTTGTAACCAAACATAGATTTCCATGTATGTAGTCTGGATAAACAAAACAATACTTTTTAACCTTTCTTGATCGGCAACTCATTGTAAATTTGCTTGTAATTCTCTTCTAATTTAGCTAATTATGAATTAATGATGGTCATGTGAGACAAACTGGTATTTTTCCAAGTCATTAGAACACTTCTACTTTCTATTCATATAAGTATTGGCATTTTTATTTTCATAAATGAAAATGAGGGAACCCATCTTTAACTTCAAGATATCGAAAGTTGTATAAAAGCAAACCTTACCTTCCGGACACTCTTTAAACATGTCCTGAAAGAACAGACACGCAAAGGAAACCAGTTCATTTGGCTCTGCCCCCGAGGCTACAATAACACCTAATAACAAAATGGCTGAAACTTGAATTCTCATGGCTACGTAAGATATCGCCAAAAAGTTAAAAGATATCTGCCTCCGTTAATGAATTAAAAGTTATATTATTCGTCAAAGATAGGATCCGTTCCTGTTTGACAATATTTCGATCCGTTTCCGTCCGTCATTTGTTCGATCCAACTCTGCCCAGTTCTTAGAGTTAACCGTTGCCTTCGTCTGTATATATAATAAATATATAGATATTCTTATGTACCTCCAAGCATGACAAATAATGATGATTGCACCTCAAATATGTAAAATAAAATAAAAATTAAAATGAGTTTAAAGGGACAGGTGTGCCAATTTGATTGATTGATTTGAGTCTTCAGAAGTCCTAAAAATGTTAAAAAATTGCATAATTCTTTCAAAACTAGGAATTACTTTTCCTATTTCTGTGTATGTCTCTTCTTTACATGTCAGTATCTCGAGAAAAGACGAACCGTCTTTAAAAACTGTCAAATACAGATAATTCTAGACACACGTGGATTTAAAGGCGTAAATTTCGACGGTGAGCTGTGAACACTATTACCGATTCACTCAGCTAAAACCTTCCAGCAACTATCCCTTTAAAAGGGCCAGTGTAGCGTCACGAATGTTAAAGTTATTCGAAAGAAGGTGTGAGGTTTCGTCAACCATTACACGTCATTAGATTAATTTCAGAAAATACATAATTTATGTAATTGGATTACATTTTTAATATGTAATAAGTATATCGATAAATATTGTCGTTCAGGTGAACTCCCCTGCATGTGTTTGGTGCTCACTAGCGCGGTTTTACCACATTATGCTAAAGGGATAAAGAAGATTTCTAAAAATAGCATGACCAAGTAAGAAAAATTGCGTATTTATAGCTAACTATTGTCCAATCCCTTGACGTCTTCAGCTTGGTAACGTCTGATTGGTCAGATTTAAATGCCTCCAATCTCATTTCCACGCCCCTAAAACGAAGTGGAGTGGGCTTAGTTTAATACGGGTTAATAACATACTGTCAAAAACCGTATTCATGATACGATGTTCTCTGCCAAGTTTCACATCGATAGCAAAACGGGGAGGCGGCGAAACAGCAACAGTGTCGTTAAGGGCAGTTCTTCGCTGTATAAAACAAAAGATATCATTAGTCTACATATAAATAGAAAAATTATTTCAAAGAACGGTACTTTATTCCGTTCCTTATATCTTGTTCAAACTAGTATGGGTTGTCAAAAGAATAAAAAATAAATTTACACATTAATGAGCTCATAAAATCGATTCACAATTCTGAATTCAAAGTCACGTGGTAAGTGGAAATTAGGAAAATTGTACGTTAAGCCCGTTTTACTCAGTTGACTTTTTCTAGTATAGAATTTTTTACTCTTTTCTGACAAATTAACTTTATGAACGTTACGTTTTTTCTGTGCTATAATTTATCAATTAAACTTCTCCTTACAGGTAAGCCTCGATTAATTTATAAATTCAGTCATACTGTTTGACGTAAGCTTCGAGGTCACGTGAGACTTCAAAATACGGGGCGAAATACCTGAGGTTGCTCGAATTTCTAACCCCGTTATGAAATTTTTTCATTAGGGGCTGCGAGGGGGAGGTGGATAACCATCCTGTTCCTTTGACTCCGCCGATGCACAGACCTAACCGAATGTGGTGTAAAAACAGAAGTATCTACTCCAGACATTTGCAAAAAGTGTCTTTCGAAACACCTTAGCAAAGTGAAACTTAACTTATAAATAACTTATTGTTACATCTTCATGGAGAAATCCTACCTAAATATTCAGCATAAACAGTATATATATATATATATATATACAAAGACGCCTATCAGTTGCATAACTTTTAATAAATATATATTTTTAATGGACACCTGGCCTAGTTAGTTTAACAATATCACCAATCCTTATCTTTATTCCAGACGACCTGAAAGTATTGTTTCCTATGTATAATAAGTGTAGAGACTGAACGCACTGTCCACACAACAGTGCCAATAATTTATAAAATTACCATTTTAATGATAATTTACATACTGGTGAAAGCATCCTGAGATATAATATTAGAACAAACATCCCATATCACTACCCATTTCTGGGTAAGGAAGGCCTTAAATTAAAGCCAGAAAAGAATGGATTTAAGATTTTCACCAGTTTTGAATTTATATCTTTTTACCCGTCTTATCTGTGAATATATTTTAATACTAGGGTATCTTCAAAGAGATCACCCGTATCCGTACCACCAGTTTTACTGGGTACTTTTCTTGATTAACTTCCAGCAATTTATTGATTTGATCATCAACTTCCTGTACTTGTTTGAACCTATCTTGGGTCAGTGCCAACGATACAGAATCCGACTCACTGTTCAACTCATCTCGTAAAAAGACCCTTTTCTCGCAGATTTTGATTGTGAGCTCATAGTGAGTCTATTTAGGACATTGGAGCTATTATCAGATTGCTCTATGGAATCGCTTATTAATTTCTTGAACTGAGCGAATGATTGTTCCGTGCGATTTGCTCATTTGGGCCGTTTCTTCACTAAAAGAGTCTAATTCATCTTTCCTTGTATTCATCATGCTGCTAGAACTGCCCGGTCTCTCGTCCGTCTGAGCCAACTTACGAATTTCACTTCGATATTATTACCGGTGTTTTTAATTTAGTTTAGATCCACTTGCAATTTTGCCAGTTGATTCCCTTTTATTATTAGAAACCGGTACTTGAAGCACTTTGTTGTCGTACTTCTTAGAAACCGAGTGCTTAAAAAGGCTTCGGCCATTATGGCGATAAACGATGACAAATGTAACTTGTGATTACTTACACAAGGTAGCAAACAAATCACTATCATAGATGTGATGTGAAAAGAAACCAATTATGGTTTAAAAATGGGTTCCCTTTTTTCATTTATGAAAATAAAAATGCTAATATTTATATGAATAGAAAGTAGAGGTGTTCTAATGACTTGGAAAAATACCAGTTTGTCTCACATGTCCATCATCAATTCATAATCAGCTAACTTTGAATAGAATTACCAGCAGAATTCCAATGAGTGACTGATCATGAAAGGTCAAAAAGTCTTTTGGGGTTTTATTGTACACAACGTTTCTACAATTTACATTGTCATCATCAGTTTATATGGTATGATACTCCTGAGTTTATTGTACACAACGTTTCTACAATTTACATTGTCACCGTCAGTTTATATGGTATACTACTCCTGAGTTTTGTTGTACACAACGTTTCATCAATTTACATTGGCATAATCAGTTTATATGGTATACTACTCATGAGTATTATTGTACACAACGTTTCAACAATTTACATTATCATCATCAGTTTATATAGTATACTACTCATGAGTATTAATGTACACAACGTTTCTATAATTTACATTGTCATCATCAGTTTATATAGTATATTACTCCTGAGTTTTATTGTATACAACATGTCAACAATTTACTTTGTCATTATGTTCACCTAACCAAAACTAAAGGGAAATAACTGTTACATCTTACATTTGAAAACTTTTCACTTGTATTTTCAACAGTCGTCTCATAAAATTCGATGAGCACAAAATTACTGATTGTCAATTCGGATTCCGAAAAACAAATTCAACAGTGGACGAAATATTCATTTTACCATCTTTAATTTTCAAAAAGAGATTATACGTGTTCTTTGTGGATTTCACAAATCGTTTTAATCTTTGGTTTAAACTCATTAAAGAGTAAAAGTACAAAAAAGTTCAGTGATGTGTGAAATATAACGGCAACGTCTAACATTTTAATGGTAAAAATGGTCTGTTTCAGGGAGAAGTTCTCTCCCCTTTATTATTCTAAGTTTATTTTGAGTCTCACAAACGTGATGAAAAACACCCGAAAGCTTCTTATATCTTTTAAACTAGCCATTAACCAGTGGCGGCTCCGGCATCTCGAGACTGAGGGTACTAGGGAAGTTTCGAGGCTAAATCCAAATGAAGCAATTCTGTGGAAGTGTCTTGTCGCTAGCCTCCCATGAGAGGTTTCTCCAAAGAACATGTTAGAAAATACAAAATAATAATGTTAATAGCTTTAACCATTTGGGTATTTAATTTCAAGGTGAAAGTCTATGGCCGTCAGTCCATTCAGAAGCATATTTTCTAACCATAACATTCTTAACAGTGTCTGTATTAAATCTGTACGAAAATCCATTAAGACAGATAACTTCTAACAATACTGGAGAGAAACATTAGACTTGTGATGTTTGTAGTAAATCATTTAGTTAGAAAGTTTGTATAGAAACGCATCTATAATGTATATTTGTGATTTTTGTTATTGTCGGATAGGAATAACTTTACAACAAATGTCCAATTAGATAACTATATATAGCTGTATGTCCTAGAACACATTGTATATATAGGAACTCATATGACAGTACACACATTCCAATACGTAAAATAAACTGGAAATATATTTAATTTTGATGAAAACCTAATCAATGAAAACATATTTCAAATAAAATCTTGTAGTGGAAGGAGGAGATATTTGTTTTTGTATAAAATGGACACTTTTCTGATGTTTTTATACGATATCCGAATTTAATCTTAAAATAATAATAGTCAAATTAACACCAAATTTTAAAAATGATAACAATTAAAGTTATTTGATCGCACGATGAGCTAACTATCTTGGGTTATATTACTGTGAATTATATGGAGAAGAAAACCAAACTTTTTCTATGTGTGTTTCTTGACTGATTACAGATACTTTTCCTTTTAAAATCGACCTCCTCCAGGAGCTGTCCAGGTTGGTACAGTTATCTGACAAAAGAAATATCGTTTTCTTCGACAAACAGCTTCATCCATATGATAATTTGCCTTCCTAAGTCTTACACAATTTTGATCTGGATCAACTGGAGCGTTTCCAATCCACGTTACTCTGGAACCATCCAACCATCTGAAAGTAGCATCCGCATTATCATTTCGAGCTCCAATGAAATAGCCAGGCTGGTCTGATTCTGAAAGAAATAAGATATCATTTGTTAAAGGGGTTGTAACATGTTTAAAAAGCTTTTGTGTGTATCGGGGACACAGATAGCATTAATTTGTACCATTCCAACTTTAAAACATACATTCGTGTCCTTGCATTTACACTATCTAGAGTTTGATGGAGTCACTTATCGTCAAATCGCAACCAGTTCCAGTGGAATTACAGGAACCACAGATGTCTCATTGAAAAAATTGACAGTCTAGGTATAAGATGACTTATGAACATGATATTGGGAAGAGGACCCACGTGCAAAATCAACATATTGGATAAATATTTCAGAAAATAATATTACTTCTATCCTCAATAATCTTTTTAGCAACTTCTAATTTGTCAGTTGTATCCATTTTGAAAAGAAAAGCGTCATCCGCTGTACATGCAGCACTGGCGTCGTCGAAGTTTTTCTTATCTGTATATAGCTGGATACAAATACCGATACTGGCATTGTAAACATATTGCTTCTCCTCACAAACAGCTTCTGAAAAAAGTTTATATTATACAGATTTTGATTATATGATCAAAGAACAGATTTGATAGGAAACCGAGCTTAATGAACCAGTCAAAAACATCCAGGTCTGTATTTTGAAAGAGTTAAGTTGATTCGATGGGACAATCAAACCAGAAGTCATTTGAAAATAAATAAGTAGGTACTACCTATACATGAAATGGTATTACAGGACCTAGTTTCGCTACCAGGAGGAGAACAGGTAGCACCGTCATTACTCGGTTCTGGATCATCACATAGTCTTGTTCTGTTTTGTGTTCCTCCATCACATGTTGTAGAACAGTCGCTAAAATCCGACCATTCTCCCCAGTTTCCATCCACTGTAAATAGATCAATATATCATCTAAAACATAAACCAACAAACAAACATAAATATAACATTTTAAACAAACAAACAAACAAACAAACAAACATATATATATAACATCTTAAACAAACAAACAAACAGACAAACATATATATATAACATCTTAAACAAACAAACATAAATATAACATCTTAAACAAACAAACAAACAGACAAACAAACAATAATTCTTACCAGGGCAGGGAATTTCTGCGCATGCCACAGTTTCAGTTTGATTGCCGAGACAAGTCGCACCACCATGTGCAGGACTTGGATTATCACAAAGTCGTTGTCGAGTCCTGGTACCATTACCACAGGTTTTTGTACAATTGGAAAATTCTCCCCAGTTTCCCCAATCGCCATCAACTGTAAAGTAAATCATGAATTATTTAAAAGAATATAGGATTGTTTACCTACTTCTGAAATAAGATGTCACGTACGTGCGTTTCTTCCTTATCAAAATTTTATTTCCCGACGAATCTATGATTAACTGCAAATTCAGAAGGACTATATTATAGGTTATAGGAGTTAAAATTGGTGTATATTATACGTACCAAGACGGGGAATTGATGTATATTATACTTACCAGGACGAGGAATTGGTGTATATTATACGTTCCAGGACGTGGAATTGATGAATATTATACGTACCAGGATGTGGAATTGGTGTGTATTATACGTACCAGGATGTGGAATTGATGTATATTATACATACCAAGACGAGCAATTGATGTATTCATTATCTGTACCAGGACGAGGAAGTGATGTATATTATACGAACCAGGACGAGGAAGAGATGTATATTATACCTACCAGGAAGTGGAATTGATGTATATTATACGTACCAGGATATGGAATTGATGTATATTATACGTACCAGGATGTGGAATTGGTGTATATTATACGTACCAGGATGAGGAAGTGATGTATGTTATACGTACCTGGATGAGAAAGTGATGTGCATTATACGTACCAGGAAGTGGAAGTGATGTATATTATACGTTCCAGGACGTGGAATTGATGTATATTATGCGTACCAGGATGTGGAATTGGTGTGTATTATACATACCAGGATGTGGAATTGATGTATATTATACGTACCAGGACGTGGAATTGGTGTAAATTATACGTACCAGGATGAGGAAGTGATGTATATTATACGTACCAGGATGAGGAAGTGATGTATATTATACGTACCAGGATGTGGAATTGTTGTATATTATACGTACCAGGAAGTGGAATTGATGTATATTATACGTACCAGGATGAGGAAGTGATTTATATTATACGTACCAGGACGAGGAATTGATGTATATTATACGTACCAGGATGTCTAATTGGTGTATATTATACGTACCAGGATGAGGAAGTGATGTATATTATACGTACCAGGATGAGGAAGTGATGTATATTATACGTACCAGGATGAGGAAGTGATGTATATTATACGTACCAGGACGAGGAATTGATGTATATTATACGTACCAGGATGTGGAATTGGTGTATATTATAAGTACCAGGATGAGGAAGTGATGTATATTATACGTACCAGGATGAGGAAGTGATGTAAATTATATGTACCATGATGAGGAAGTGATGTATATTATACGTACCAGGACGTGGAATTGATGTATATTATACGTACCAGGACGAGGAATTGGTGTATATTATACGTACCAGGAAGTGGAATTAATGTATATTATACGTACCAGGACATGGAATTTCTGTGTTGCAGTCCTCTGTCTCTGTAGCGCCTGTGATAATGTTAGGACACTGGGATCCACCATTTGATGCTGAAGGATTGTCACAGCTTCTAGTTCGTGTACGAGTTCCTCCGGTACAATTTGATGAACATGATGAATAAGGTCCCCATGTCCCCCACACTCCGTCCACTGAAACATCAATTTGTCCAAATCATAAGCTGTGCTGGGATCTACAAAATCCACAATTGCTCGGAAACATACAAGTCACAATTATTGACGGATTTGGACAAAACTGCAATTGTTATTTAAAACGCGTTCAATTTATATCTTCTTAACACTCTTGTTGTCACAATTTTTGAGACTGCGGTTTAAATGAAATTTGATTTAAGTTTTATAATCACCCAAGAAAGAGCTCTATCGAAAATCAGAAAAATCGATTTAGGTTTTAGGTCTTAAACACTGTAGAGGGCACAATTCTTGATGAAATTGGTCATTCAGTACAAATACCACATGCTTATACTCTGAGAACAATTCGTGAACGTTAACTTTGAAAGTGTCTTTACAATTTTTTTTATTTCAAATCGTACAACATCTTGTAGAATATATATGACTTTTTCTTGCTATAATCAGTACTATGATACGTACCTTTTCAGGGGATTGTAAAAAAAATATGTGTATTTGAGACACACACAATTCCATCAAACTATGTGTTTGATGACTTCACTTATCCCGCAGGTCCTTATATGAGAAAGCATAGCTTGCGATTAGTGAAGTGATCAAACACTTATTTTTGATGAAATTGAAGGAATTACAGACGTCTGTAAAAAACTAACAGTGTCTTCGATACACATATAAAATTTAGAAAATTTCTCTACAAACGCTTTAAAGATGCTTCCTTATTTTTTAGTGTCAAATTAAGCAAACTATTTGATTAATTGATGTTTCTAATGAATTATCACGTATTCTTAATCAAATCATTGTGTTCTTATTGCATATAATTAAAAGAGGTGTAACCAAACATAAATATCCATGTATGTAGTCTGGATAAACAAAACAATACTTTTTAACCTTTCTTGATCGGCAACTCATTGTAAATTTGCTTGTAATTCTCTTCTAATTTAGCTAATTATGAATTAATGATGGTCATGTGAGACAAACTGGTATTTTTCCAAGTCATTAGAACACTTCTACTTTCTATTCATATAAATATTAGCATTTTTATTTTCATAAATGAAAATGAGGGAACCCATCTTTAACTTCAAGATATCGAAAGTTGTATAAAAGCAAACCTTACCTTCCGGACACTCTTTAAACATGTCCTGAAAGAACAGACACGCAAAGGAAACCAGTTCATTTGGCTCTGCCCCCGAGGCTACAATAACACCTAATAACACAATGGCTGAAACTTGAATTCTCATGGCTACGTAAGATATCGCCAAAAAATTGAAAGATATCTGCCTCCGTTAATGAATTAAAAGTTATATTATTCGTCAAAGATAGGAACCGTTCCTATATTTCGATCCGTTTCCGTCCGTCATTTATTCGATCCAACTCTGCCAAAGTTCTTAGAGTTAACTGTTGCCTTCGTCGGTGTATATAATAAATATATAGATATTCTTATGTACCTCCAAGCATGACAAATAATGATGATTGCACCTCAAATATTTAAAATAAAATAAAAATTAAAATGAGTTCAAAGGGACAGGTGTGCCATTTTGATTGATTGATTTGAGTCTTCAGAAGTCCTAAAAATGTTAAAAAATTGCATAATTCTTTCAAAACTAGGAATTACTTTTCCTATTTCTGTGTATGTCTCTTCTGTACATCTCAGTATCTCGAGAAAAGACGAGTCGTCTTTAAAAACTGTCAAATGCAGATAATTCTAGACACACGTGGATTTGAAGGCGTAAATTTCGACGGTGAGCTGTGAACACTATTACTTGCTTAGCTAAAATCCTCCAGCAACCATCCCTTTAAAAAGAGCCAGTGTAGCGCCACGAATGTTAATGTCATTGGAAAGAAGGTGTGAGGTTTCGTCAACCATTACACGTCATTAGATTAATTTCAGAAAATACATAATTTATGTAATTGACTTACATTTTTAAATCGTAATAAGTATATCGATAAATATTGTCGTTCAGGTGAACGCCCCTGCATCTGTTTGATGCTCACTAGCGCGGTTTTACCACATTATGATAAAGGAATAAAGAAGATTTCTAAAAATAGCATGAATCACATTCGACCAAATTGTCAATTTTTCAAAGCGGTGTAGATGACACTTTCGAACATTAATCTAAAAATTGACGATGCGACACAGTAATGCTTTCTGATAACTCACATACTTACTTCATACTTATCAGACACATCGTACTATATTTAATCATAGCGAGTCATGCCCTTATTGCTGCATCGCACCTTGAGTATTGGCGATCGCGATATTGGCACGAAACACTGTGATAACTAATCTTAGATGGATAGAAACGTTGGACACATTAAGTACATGTACTTCTCTGCCAGTCGTGTCCAAACCACACCCGATTCGTCATACTTCCTCGAGGCGGTGGTAACACAAGTGAGAAAAATTACGTATTCTTGTCTAATCAAAATTGGCCCTACTGTATTTCTAGCACAATACAGCAAGTTGAACAGTCAGATAGAAAATTAGTTCTTTACATGATGTCTTCAGCTTGGTAACGTTTGATTGGTCAGATTTAAATGCAATCTCATTTCCACGACCCTAAAACGAAGTGTAATGGGCTTAGTTTAATATGGGTTAATAAGACCACGTCAAAACCCGTATTCGTAATACGATGTTCTATGCCGAGTTTCACATCGAGAGCAAAACGGGGAGGGGGAGGGGGCTGTATAAAACAAAAGAATACATGATAATTCATTAAAAACACCAATTAATCCATAGTTTGCTTAATTTGACACAAAAAAATAAGGAAACCATCTTTAAGATTTCTGTCTGATCAGAAGCTAATGATTTCATGCTCGGCAGCATGTGCATCTCACGTGACCTCGAAGCTTGCGTCATATAATATAATAGAATTAGACACACCCAGTCATTAACCGATAATAACGGGCCTCGTCTAAAGAGGTGATAGGAATTTAAAACCCACCGTCACTTATTTCTTCTGAAGGTTTCACTCTTGCCATAATAAGGCGAAACACCAACCCTAGATCAAACTGTTAAAACAACAGCTAGTATACTCTGTTAGGTGTTCAATTGTATACATAGTCCTCAAGGGACATTTACAGTTGTCTCAGAACACAATTATATGGTATACTACCTCTAAGTTTTATTGTACACAACATTTCAACAATTTACATTGTCATTATGTTCACCTACATTAACAGTCGTCTCATAACATAGCACAAAATCATCCAAACACAATGTTCAACAGTGGACGAGATATTCATTTTACAATCTTTAATAAACAGAAAGAGATTACACGTGTTCTTTGTGGATTAGACTAAGGCCTTCTATTTCATAAATTGTTTTAATCTATAGTTAAAGAGTAAAATTACAAAAAAGTTAAGTGATGTGTAAAATATAACGGCAACTTCTCTGAATATTTTGATTTTAAAAATGGTCTGTTTCAGGGAGAAGTTCTCTCCCCTTTCCTATTCTCAGTTTAGGTTAATGATTTTCAGTCTCACTTACGGGTTGAAAAATGTCCATCCATCACATTACTATGGAAGCCGGCTGCGGCCATATTACCCTCGACTTCTCGCCCACGAGAGGTCGAGAGACGAGAAAGCGAGCAAAAAGGCGAGAAAGCGAGGGCCTTTTTCCTCGCCTTTTTCCTCGATTTCTCGAAATTCCTCACTTTCTCGTGGGCGAGAGGTCGAGATTCCTCGCTTTCTCGTGGGCGAGAGGTCGAGATTCCTCGCTTTCTCGGGGCGAGAAGTCGAGAGTAGATATGGCCGCAGCCGGCTTCCATACATTACGTTAAGTTTACTTATTTTTTTTGCTGTATGCTGATAATAAAGCAATAATCTCCGAAACACCAGAAGGCTTCTTATATCTTTTAAACTAGCTATTAACCAGTGGCGCCAGCATCCCGGAAGACTGACTCAATGGGGGCGGGGCAAGTATAAATTCAAATGCAGCCATTCTGTGGAAGTGTCTTGTCGCTAGCCTCCCATGAAACATCTGAAAAGGTTCTTCCATGAAAATGTTACAAAATACAAAAATCGATGATGTTAATAGCTTTAACTGTTTGGGTATTTAATTCAGTTCCAAGATGAAAGTCTACGCCTCGTCATTAGTGGTTGATATTCGGCATTGATAACAAATGTAGTAACAACGCAAGTGAAACATCCAGGTTTGTATTTTGATCAAATTGTGGTATACTGTTGTCCTTTCTTCATCAAGTAAACCGAGACCCCATGTGTGCTACAGGCTGTGCACGTTTAAGATTGGAAATCGAAAAAGAGCACGCTTATGCCACTTTCCTGGCAAAATTGCCCTCATTGCACTCTGCATGGCATTGCCCGTCTTCATTAGCCCACATGGTGCAGAAAGTAAAATATCCATTCATTTCATTTCATCAACCAAAAATGTGTCAGAAAAGTTTGGTGTAAAACGAAAATTAATAAAGTAATACCTATACATGAGACCGGATTACATGAACTAGTTTCGCTACCAGGAGGGGGGCAGGTAGCACCGTCATTACTCGGTTCTGGATTATCACATAGTCTTGTTCTGTTTTGTGTTCCTCCATCACATGTTGTAGAACAGTCGCTAAAATCCGACCATTCTCCCCAGTTTCCATCCACTGTAAATAAAAACATATTAGTAATTTACAAGTAGTAGTGTCATCGAACAAGCATTCAGAGCTATGGAGGAAAGGCCCCCTTGAGAACCTCCCCCTCACTTGGAATAAATGTGTTTTTCTGGGCAGTGATTTACTTCAAATGCCATAGTTTCAGTTTGGTTTACGAGACAAGTTTCACCGCCATGTGCAGGGATTGGATTAACACAAAGTCGTTGTCGAGTCCAGGTACCATGATTATTACCACGATTACTACCATGATTACTGTCATAATTACTGCTACGATTACTGTCACGGTTACTACCATGATTACAACCATGATTACTACCATGAATACTGTCACGGTTACTACCATGATTACAACCATGATTACTACCATGAATACTGTCACGGTTACTACCATGATTACAACCATGATTGCTGCCATGAATACTGTCATAATAACTGTCATTATGCCCGCCATGAATACTGTCATAATAACTGTCATTGTGCCCGCCACGATTACTGTCATGATTTCGTCCATGATGATCAGAATGAGACAATGCATAAAGAAGGTTATCGGAAACTAGGGACGCAGATAATCTCACTCAATAAAAAAGCATTTATTAACATAAGAGAAATTTTGTTCTTATAATGGGAGATAAATCGTCCTGTTCTGTTAATAGAAATCATTTATGAATTTAGTCCATTTCGTAATTTGGAGAGTTTAACCTCTCTACGAAGCACTTAATTCCAACAATCTGTTTACAGCATGCTCTGAAACTCTAGTGTTTCTTTCTTTCTATATTTCGTATATCAAGCCAATCGTCAGTTTGTTTATATTCTAAAATAAATATATTTCACGAGTCAGTGAATCACCAACCTCTTGACCTACATGCTATATTATAGATACTTCACATCTCACATGATTAATAGTGAGGCTGCATATGACTTGTGTCAAGCACGTTAAAGTTACACATTAAAGAGATATAAACGTGTTTTCTTATCCAGCTGAAAAAGCTTGAAAATCAGGCAACTTTTCGAAAACTGAACAGATTTAAATTTCGTCTTAATATTAAAGAGAGGTTGTCTAAATTAAGAAATAAATTATAATTTACCAGAATCACAACTTAGGTGTCCCAGAGCTGATCCTTTGCTAAATTTCCTGACATTGATTTTTCCTAAATTTTCCTAAATTTTCCTAAATTTTCTGCCCTATCTGAGAAAAAATATCTTCACCAGGTCACGAGTCTTGGATTTGAAACAATTGCTAAACGTTTGACTCAAGGAAATGGCGTCTTGCTTAGACGTAGATTAGAACCAATGGCTCAACATTTGACTCAAGCAAACGACGTCTTGCTTAGATGTAGATTAGAACTAATGGCTAAACATTTGACTCTAGCAAACGACGTCTTGCCTAGACGTAGATTAGAACTAATGGCTCAACATTTGACTCAAGCAAACGACGTCTTGCCTAGACGTAGATTAGAACTAATGGCTCAACATTTGACTCAAGCAAACGACGTCTTGCTTAGATGTAGATTAGAACCAATGGCTAAACATTTGACTCTAGCAAACGACGTCTTGCTTAGATGTAGATTAGAACCAATGGCTAAACATTTGACTCTAGCGAACGACGTCTTGCTTAGACGTAGATTTGAACCAATGGCTAAACATTTGACTCTAGCGAACGACGTCTTGCCTAGACGTAGATTAGAACTAATGGCTAAACATTTGACTCTAGCAAACGACGTCTTGCTTAGATGTAGATTAGAACCAATGGCTAAACATTTGACTTAAGCAAACGACGTCTTGCTTAGACGTAGATTAGAACCAATGGCTAAACATTTGACTCTAGCGAACGACGTCTTGCTTAGACGTAGATTAGAACCAATGGCTAAACATTTGACTCTAGCGAACGACGTCTTGCTTAGACGTAGATTTGAACCCAGGATTAGAACCCAGGATTAGAACCCCTCCTCACTACGCACTTACGCTCTAGCATTGTACTTTTGTCTGTTTTTTTAGATTTGAATAAGCGAGTGGTTGGGTGGCATCAGGTGTTCCGAAGGTGTGAGATATTTAATAGTTAGATATGTTGACATTTTCATTGTTGTAACGAAGTTGTGTCAAAGGTCTCGTTAATATTTCGATATTATAGAAGTTAATAAAGGTTATCAGAGATAGAGATAAAACAATTATAGAAGGGCCTAGTAAGCACTGTGATGGTGTGAGTTATATTATAAACTATAGCTATACGTACATCTGGTGTACTCGAACGTGGCTGAGTGATATTATACAGGTAATACCGGCGAGTTCAGTTGTGTTGTGTGTTTTAGTGTTTGGATAACTTTCTGCAAGGTAAGAAAAGTTTAATACGATAGGTGGCATGCATTTTGAAATGATTTTTGCGTCCTACTTTTCTTCACCATTTGGTCTAATGACGACGCACGACGCCATAATATGATGTATAAGGATACTGAGAAGCCATCATTTCTTTATAATCAATTAGTGAACGTTAAGGAGACTTGCTTTCTATTTTATACATGTTTTCTGCATTTGTGCTACCGAAGACGGTAACCGCCATTCAGTGTGCAGGGAGGGAAATTTGGCAAGGACAGTAGGGTTCGGATTAGGACTCTTTTTCGATATTATCTGTCGAGGAATCTGTAACGAGCACCGTCTGTAGCACACGGGGGTGAATGGTTCAAAGGTAAATGGGATGGAGTTTTTATTCCCAATCCTTATGTTTGTCTTATGCGACTGTGCTGGAATGAATTGGAGCCTATTATTACCCCCTAGCCTCTATTAACCCAGTTCCGATGAAATAGATTTGACCTCGTATCGTACTGCTTTAATGAAATAGAGTGGAGGTTAACGGCCTATTATTAAAATATGTTTTACCAAGTTATTAAGATATTAATTCTCACTGTAGATCAACAGCTGGTATAATAGTCGATATCCTAGTTGTCTCAGTTCAAAAAGGTCGCTGTAAAGTTTATTCGTAGTGAACTGTAGATATGCCTTAACTTTTAAGGTAACCACAGTCCTAAACCCCTAAACCACATTCACACGCACAACAATAGATACATGTAGGTTTCCATGCAGGTCCGGAGCTACAGGGCCCGACAAAATGCCCCCCCCCCCCCCTCCATTACTGCAGCTAAACACCATATATAATTGCCCATCAGAACAATCCAAACGGGTCTGTTCCCTTGTAGCATTCAAAGGAAATCAGATGCGTTTCGTCCCTTCCAAATAACGCTAGTCTTCAATCTCATGACTTAGTACGTAACTTGTTCTCTGTGAACCAGTTGAAGTATACGAGTCAATGGACTAGAGTTTAGTAAAACAAGGTCACTTCAAATATTTGGTCTTCTATCAGTTCATAAAGGTCAACTTTGTTTGGCTTAAACTACGTCGTAGTGAAAATACAAACTAAGTAACAACACGAACGCTCGTAGACAGATCAATATACTATGGAGAAAGTTTTGATATATAATTTTGAATATGCCAAGTAAGCAATATATATCGGGGACACTGATAGCATCATACCATTCTTCAATCAGACGTCCGTGGTACCTGCAGTTCCACAAACACTAATCGTAAAATATGATTTATGCGATTAGTAACGTCATCATACACTTAGTTTACGTTAAATTGCAGGAACCACGGACGTCTGACTGAAAATTGGAATGGTGCAATCAGTGTCTCCGATATATATTGCTTACCTGGCATATTCAAAATTATATATCAAAACTTTCTCCGTAGTATATTCCGATATATATAAACACATTTTTTACAATCCCTTGAACTAAAAGTATTTTATGAAAGCGATGCAGAGTTGACAGACAGTGGTTCAGGTTCAGAAAAAAGACTCGCAATAAGAATTTGTCGTATTTATGGTATGATAAATTTAAGGGGTAGGTACGGGGGGGGGGATGATTTTAGTCTTGAATATATATGAATATAGTCTTCAGAAGTACTAAAAGCGCATAATTCTTAAAAATTTCTCAAACTAGGATTTGCCATAGATGTCTTTTCTATATATGGTAATGTCTCCAGAAAAGAAAAAACGCAGAAAATTCTGGACACACGTGGACTTGAAGGCTCGAATTTCGACAGTGAGATGTTAACACTATTACTGATTGACTTAGCTAAAAACAAAGTTGAAAATGTTTCTGAGACTAATGTATGATTGGTCAAAAAATTGCGCTAGTGTCCCTTTAAGAAGTACCATACTTGCGACAACATCGGACATTTTGGGCGAAAAGGGGGTGAATCTATATCGATTATCGTGGATTTCTTCGCTTATGAGGGACTGATCTGCAAAAAAAAACACATCACGGAAAGTCTTTGATATCTTAGTGTAGACTAATGTCAGTGCCTGGTAAAAGTTCCCTCAGTGACCTTGCTGTTATGTTATACCCTTACCAGCCAGTGTGACGTGAACCTCCAGTAAATTAAATGTTAACTGTCGTTACGGAGCTACCTTCTAAATATCAATAGTTCATATTGTTTTGGTTTGAGTGAAGTAAAACTTAAATTGAATATGGTAAGGTAAGAGCTTGGTCAGCGAAAAGTAGACAAATTTGTTTCAATAGGCGTTGATGTTATACCGTTACGGGGCTACGTTGATTGTTATACGGTTACGGGGCTAAGTTGATTGTTATACGAGTATTATATCTTAAGTTAACCATTGTTCGGGTGATAAGACACAGACTATAAATTATAACTGTAATAGTTTTATCTCTAGTGTATTCACAACACGGTCACCCGAGATTAAATCATATCGTAACGTTATTAATTTATCAAGGGCGGCTTTATTGGTCGCTAACAACGCCTTAATTCTAGTATCTTCAGGTCAGTGATACAGGTCGGAGGACTGACACGGAAAGCGACTAGTCCTTCGGATGGGACATAAACCGAAACCCCATGTGCTACAGGCTGTAAACTGTAAATTGAGTAGGCTAATGCCACTGTCCTGGTAAAATTTCCCTTCTTACACACTGCATGGTGTTACGGTTACCAGTTTCCATTAGAATAGTCAGATGCAAAAGACGAAGATCGTGAGACAATATGTTCCCAATCGCACCCCCCACCCCCCCACCCCTTTAATATCTTGACTATCTGAAAGATGTTACAGTTGTTTGCACCCATGCGTACATTACGACTATAGGCGTAGAACTCTAGTTTCGTAGTATCTGTCTAATGGTGTATACTTTCAGCCCCATTGCATATCATAACACACCATCATCGTATCATAGCTGTATTCAAACAATCCGATAATATAGCACCGAATTTTGCAATCGTTTACTGATTGGGGCTAGACTAATAGTCCGACCCCACGCACGCTCTCTCTTATCTCTTTCGCCCATGACTGATGATAAAATACAAACAACTGACACACACAATATGATTTAAACGCCCTGTTATTAAATCATATACTCCTAGTAACACAATATCCTTGTCTGTGTATCTCTTCATTGTCTTCACTCTTCATCGATTTCATTCACCTTAACCTCATTGATTTATTATTCCAATAAAACATCAGATTTCATTGGTTAACTGGCGTCATCGATACCGGGCTGCGCTAGTGCTCTCTCTCAGGTCCGTGTTGATAGTACTTAATGTAACAAAGTACAGCATGCGACCATGGCGATAACATAAATACAAACAATCAACAAGTATTTACCTGGGTGACAGAAGAAAGTTGGGTAGCTAGGATTGCTATATGATTACCTACTGGTTTAACAACAATCTAGAGAAGTAATTTGGAGAATACAGAACAGGTAAGTTAAGTATTTCTACTAGATGTGAACAGAAACTAGGAAATTAATATGTATGTGTAGTATTTTTCTATGCATGGAATTCAGGAATTGCAATACAGTTACCTTGATCGAAATATTATGAATTGTTTTGAATCTAAGGAAGAAAAAAGATAATTTCCTTCGTGTTTTAACGAGTTAGATGTTTTGAGGCATACTGTATAATACTGTGGATGTTCATTCGAAATAGTAAAAATATTTGTACATAGCCATTCAAAGTAGTTTCAAGTTCATAAATTATTATGCTACAGGATTGAAAGTTTCTATGTAGCAATGCAAAAGAGTTCGTAGTTTGTATATTATCGTGTTAAATAGTTTGAAGTTTGTACATAGACATAAGCCATGCCAAAAATAATTAAACTTGTACAGAGCGATTAAAGTTTGTACACAGCCATGTAAAATAGTTTAAACCCTATCATTAGCCATGCAAAATACTTCAAAGTTACATAGGAATGCAAAATATTTAACAATTTGTGCAAAGCAATGTAAAAATTTTCAAAGTTTGTATATAGCCATGCGAAATAGTTCAAATTCTTATGCATTGTCTAACCATGCAAAATAGTTTCAACTTTGTATATGCTCACGCAAACTAATTAAAAGTTTGTACACATCCATACAAAATAATTAAACATTTGTATAAAACATTGTTTAAAACTTTACATCTCTCGTCTTACCCACTAGATATGGTCCAGAAAATCAGTCAGTAGAGCAATATATTAAATGACAGTAAATCTAGGCAGGTCTGTAGAGCGATATGTTTATTTGATGAAGCAGTTCAATATCGTCTCTATTGTAATATTGATTAACTCCTTGTCTCGTTTAGTGGCGGTTGTCAACCTTCCTGCCTAGGCATTGACCTACTCCGAGCCCCGAGCAAACGGTCTACCGTGTATGTTCTACTAGGGCTCTGTAACACATTCGGGTTTACCGAAACTGTCGAAGATTGTCGAAGAATGCGACGTCCTCTCATCCAAAAAAACAAACCAGTTAATTTAGTGGTGGTTGTCAATTTCAATATTAATCTCTCTGGTGGAATGTCTAGGTATTGACATACTCTAACAGCCCGAGCAAACGATCTGCCTTGTATGTTTTACTAGCGCTCTGTAACAGATTCAGCATTGCGGAAATTGTGGAATGAGCCTCGAGCTCTAAAACTCTGGGCTATCAGCATATAGAATCATTGGGTAATTAACTGCATCCCTACCAATCATTATCCGAACATCACCCACTCTGCTAATCGGGTGCTGCCATGTTGTTTTATAATGCCCCCATTCCCCTATCCTCGAAACCGTTGAAGTACCACTTCCTGGCTCTTTACTAAGCAATTTAAAGGGGTTATAAAGATTTTTCTTGCCCAGTAATACTACGACTACATTTCCAGTTAACTCATTCTGGAATTGCAGGAACCACAGCGGACGAAGGAATGAAATGTCCCTAATAGATGTCAAAGGTGTCCCCGATACACATTAAAAGGCAAGAAAACCTCTTAACAATCCCTTTAAAATAGATTTTAAGCATCATGATCTGTAAAAT